CAAGAGGAACAGGAATTCAGGATCTCCCCCCACCCCACCCCTGCACCCGGACACATGAGAAGACAGAGTGATAATGCCTGGTTTCATGGTGCACACAGCAGCAAATTATCGCACTGTGACCAGTTTTTCTATTTCCTTTCTGTTGCTGTGATTAAAATACCCTGGGGGGGAGCAGCATAGAGGAGAAAGGGATTATTTAGGGTCAGGACTCCACAGTCCATCACTGCAGGAAGTCGAGGTGGTGGTGACATCACAGTCAATGATAGCACGCTGCTTGCTTGTGTTCAAATTGCTGTCTCCCCTGTTACACAGTCCAGGCCCTCCTGCCTAGGGAAAGGTGCTGGTGGGTTTCCCCACGTAGGTTAAATTAATGAAGACAATTCCTCATCAACATGTCCATGGGCTAGCCCAATGTAGACAATCCCTCATGAGGACTCTTTGCCCAGGGAGTCTAGGTTGTTTAAAATTGTCCATTAAAGGGCTGGAGAGATGGCTCAGCTGTTAAAGGCTAGGCTCACAACCAAAATTGTCCATTAAAGTCACAGCTGCAAATACCTACACGAGACCTATGTTGGTTGGTTTTTCACTCACCAGCAGAGTTTTGCTTTGTTTTGTCTTGTTTTTAGTCCTTGGCTTCCTAATGCATTCCTGTAACCTCAGATTTGGTAGCTGTGAAATTGGGTAGAGGGTAAGATTGTCTTGGGGAAGGTTTAAAAAGAGGGATAACTCCCAGAAGACCACAGTGAATGTGATGGGGGGGGATGCCAGATGACATGGTATCGAGTTCCTTAAGGAACATGGAGGTGGGAGACCTGCCTGGGATTTGAAGCCACGTGGTGAATCTCTAGGCCATGTTGAACGAAAGCGATAGATTTGGGGTGAGGAGGAAGGAGAAATGGTGAACAGCTCACTCTTTGAGTCCAGGTAACCCTAGAGCTGACGCTGGCCTTGCTGTGTGTCCCCCATCTGTCTGTTTCTCTAAGGGACAGGAATATAACGGCCTTCCTAATGCCTACAAAGACAGAAACAGAGCAACAGATAACAGCACACCACACATGCCCACCCTGCCACCAGCATAGTCCAATAGCAATCAGCAAAAGGTCTGCCCATCTCTGCCGCTATGGCCAAGGGGTGAAACCCTCTTCCTATCTCTGCTGTGGTAACACTTACCCTCCCAACCACACTTATAGATGCTCCCCTCGCCCCTCCTCCTCTCGCCCCTCCTCCTCATTCCTCCCATCCTCTCTGTGATTAGAAAGACAGGATATGTTTATGAAGGGCTAACTCAGCCGGCCATAACAGTGTGGCCATTCATCAGTCACATTGCCTGACTCTGCAGAGTCACCAAGACAGACTGCCAGTGACTTGCTGCTCCCACCCTATGCTATAGGAGTTGGCAGCCCTGACTTCATCCTGCCTGGGTGCACACTTGACCTGGAGAGAGAAACAAGGAGACAAAGCATTTACACTAGCAGGCATGGCCCACAAAGGAGATCCACTCAGGGTCCCCACCCTGACTGCAGCCAAACTCTGTACATCCAACCCCAGCTGGGTCTCCCAGAGTGGGCACCCTGACCTGCCACCTCCTCTGAGTAAGTCCCATGACCTCTTTCTTGGTCCACCATCTACAAAGACAGTCACCATCAATCATGAGATAACAGCCCTGGAGAGAGCTGGACCACGGCTTTTTTGAGCAAGCCTACATGCCTGATCGGAAGATCCCATTCTCTACAGAGAGAACTGAGCTATAGAAAGGTGAATAGGCTGGCTGCCCGCTCCAGGGGAGGGGGCAACTGCAGCTGACAGTTCTTGAACCCATGTCTCTGAAGTCTCAGAGCTGGACCAGGAACCCATGTTGGACTCCCAGATGACTTTGGTCTCTTCTCTTGTCACCCATACCCACTCCCTCCTCCTCGATACCCACCCCCCTCCTCCTCGATACCCACCCCCTCCTCCTCGATTCCCACTCCTGGATGCTCTTGAAGGAATGCTGGCTGACCGTCAGCACCACCCAACAGGTGCATGGGTTGCTGCCAGCTGTAACTGTGGGGGTCCACAGAGATCACACCTGTGCACCAGCTCCATGAAAGTAAACTGGACATTCCAGCCGCTGCTCAAACCAATTTAGATGACAGCACCTGACCGGCCAGAGGCTGGGGCTCAGTGTCTGTCTGCAGGAAATGGACAAGGACCTCCGCCCACAGGAGGGAATCTCTCAAGATCTTTGCTGGGGTTGTTCATGCCACTCTGGCGTCCCACAGAGGGAGATGCTGTGATTTCTGTGAGCAGAGACTGCAGCAGCTGGCACCTGCTGACTGCTGACTGGGACCCAGACCTTCTGCTAAGAGCCCTTGCCCATCAGCTTGCTGGGGGATGACAGCTCCGGTGAGCAGCAGAGAGCAGCCCCACCGGACAGCCGAGCAGACCGGGCCTCTGAGGGAGGACGCTGCAGCTGAGAGCGTCTAGGGATGAAATGAAGTTGAGTTCCACGGCTCTGCTGGGCAGCTGCTGGGCCAGCCCTTCGCTGAAGAAACTGCATATGTGCCACAGCTCAGCTTAGAGTTTTCCAATTTAAGATGTGCTGTCCTGGCTAGTTTTCGGCCAACTTGATATAAGCTAAAGTCATCTGAAAGGAGGGAACCTCAACTGAAAAGGATGCCTCCTTAAGATCAGCTGTAGGGAAGCCTGTAGGGCATTTTCTTAATTAGTACTGATGGAGGAGGGACCAGCCCACTGCGACTGGTGCCATGCCTGGGCTGATGGTCCTGGGTTCTATAAGAAAGCAGGCTGAGCAAGCCATGGGGAGCAAGCCAGTGAGCAGCACCCTCCATGGCCTCTGCATCAGCTCCTGCCTCTGGATTCCCGCCCTGACTTCGTCTCATGATGGACTGTGATGTGGACGCATAAGCCAAACAAACCCTTTCTCCCCCAAGTTGCTTTGGTCCTGGCATTTACCATGGCAATAGAAACCCTGACTAAGACAAAGGCCATGAACATTTCCAAAGAGAATGAGCCCAGGAGAGAAGATCCACCCTGAATACGGACAGCAGGGTTGATTGACTGGGGTGCAGGGCTGAATAAAAAGGGGGAGAGGGGGAAGCATGCTGGGGGCAGCAGCTCTCTCTCCCTCCCCTCCCCTGTACCACCAAGGTGTGAACCAGCAGCTCTCAGGCACCCCACTCCTCTGCCAGCTTCACCGCCATGCTTCCTCTCTGGGGGGGGGGTCAGAACCTCACCAGTGAGCCAAAACCAGCCCTTCACCCCTAAGCAACTTCCTGCTGTGTGTTTGGCCACAGAAATGGGGAAAATAATGTACACACCAGTGTGCTTTATTCCACTTCTGCGTGAAACACGTTGTCTTCCTTTTCAGCATCTCCAATGCCCTCTCCTTTCCTTCTGCTTGGTGCTTTTCTCCTCTGCCGGGTATGGTTCCAGGCATGCTGAATGGAGGTTCCATTTAACCGGCACTTCTGCCCTAACTAAACGCATTTGATAGGGGAACAAGCCAAGTTTCTGGGAGCAGGGGACTCAATGCGCAAGGTCACACAAGACCAAGTCATCATTGGCAACTTACAAGTTTGGGGGTGGGGATGTGGCTCAGTGGGTAGAGTAATTACCTAGCATGCATGAGGCCCTGGGTTTGAGCCTTGATGCCACCTAAAACTGGGCATGGTCACACACACACACACACACACACACACACACACACACACACACACACACACACCTGGAATCCTAGCACGACAGAGGCAGGAGGATCAGGAGACCTAGGTCGTCTTCAGCTCCATAGCAAGTTTGAGACCCACAGGAGCTATAGGAGACCCTGTCTCTAAAAGGAAAAGGAAAAGGGAAAGACACTTGGCAGTTTGGCTCTAAAGTTTGTATTCTTAAAGGGGCATACTGAGGTCCAAGCTCTCCCTACGAGCATTCAAACCTGCTGTCTTCTTTCGCTGTGCTGTTGTTTGTTCACTGTAGATGGCGTGGACACTTTAATCCTCTGTCAACAGAAAGTGCTAATGTGTTTTTTTTTCTTTTGGTTTTTCGAGACAGGGTTTCTCTGTGTAGCCCTGATTGTCCCAGAACTTGCTCAGTAGACCAGGCTGGTCTCGAACTCACAGATCTGCCTGCCTCTGCCTCCCAAGTGCTGGGATTAAAGACGTGCGCCGCCAGCGCAAAGTGCAAATTTTTAAACCATTGAAATAAAACCCAGTGGTGTTGCCAAGGCCATACCCGTTCAGCCATACCCTCCGATGGAGTTCCTATCTTTTCCTAGGCTGGCAGTGTGTGGCACTGCCTTCTCTGGTGACACTGGGAACCGCAGGCAGCTGCATACCGGCTGTGGGGGCGGGATCAGCAAAGCGATAAAGGGCACTCACTCCAGCGTGCATGGTTGTTACACTATGAGCCCAGATAGGGTTAGTGTGCTCTATGCACGCCAGCTTGCAATCTATTGTTATGACGTAACTCCCCTGCGATTCAAGGGCCATATTTTACTCTCAAGGTAGAAACAAGTCACAGAACGGCAAGGTCCACTGACCCCGCCCACCCTCCCACCCTTGCCAGCTCTGACTCTAGACCTCCTCCCCCTTGCTCCTTGCTCCGGGGCAAACCTCATCGCCAGCACCAGGCCTCCACCTGAATTCACATGTCCCTCATGAACCTGCCTCTGAAGCAATGGGCAAACAGCTGTGTCTCCTGTGATGTCCTGTAGGGTCCCTGCTTCACACACAGAGACCTCACCGCCACCATGAGGCACCTCCACCCACCGCCACCATGAGGCTGGTGCCATTTGCTTCCATAGCCTTAACCGTTAGTGGGTCCCACCATGATGGACCCCAACTCTTCAGGAAAGAGGAACAAGGAAATGAGGAGAGAAAGGAAGGGGGGGGAAGTCACTGAACTAGTGGCCCCTGTCCAGTCTGGGCTGTCACCCTTAGATGCCACCCTCAGAGGTGATAGGAGGTGAAAGCCTAAAGTTAATGACTATATTTTCTCCCCAGATGGTGGTCCAGAGGGAGACACGTACCCTTCCACAGCCTACCTCCTGCCCTCTGCCTCTCTGGAGAGCAACCTGGAAAAGGGGGTGACATCAGCAGCCCCAGGTCCTCTGCCCTCCCAGAAAGCACTGGAAACACTGGAGGAGTCCTTGCCCCCTGCGCTCCCTGACGAGGCCAGCATCCAGCACGCCCCAGCCCTCAGGAAGAACCTGCCATCCCTGAAGCAACTCAACTCTGCCCGGAGGCAGCTGAGGCCCCTGGCCACCCCGACAACTCTGCAGAGACTAGGGTCCCCCGCCTCGGCCACCACAGAGCCGCGTGTGCCCGGGGACGCTGAACAGCCCACAGCGCCCGCGCCACTGCAGATCGTACCGTTCACCACGCTGGTGACCACACTCCCAAACAGCCCAGAGCCCGCACAGTCCCCCGATGACGGCAGCCAGGGGAGCCTGATGGACAAGGGTGACAATGAGCTGACAGGGTCAGCCTCTGAGGAGAGCCAGGAGACCACCACGTCCACCATCATCACCACGACCATCATCACCACGGAGCAGGCTCCAGGTGTGCCGCACTGGCCCCTTACCCCTGCTGTAGTGCATTTCTGGGTTTTCCACAGTGGGCGTGGGACCAGGCGGGGCCCTGCACCTGGAGGGAGGGCACACTACCACCGAGTCACTCCAGACTACTTTTTACTTTATGTTGGGAGTGTGTGTGTGAGCACACGTGTGCACGCGTGTCCTGGGGACAGAACCTAGGGCCTGGCACATGCTAGGCAAGTGCTCTCCAAGGGAGCCACGCCCTCACCCAAAGTGCGCTCACTTTTCCAGGACAGTGGCCCTTCCTGTCTTTGGGCTCCTCTGTGGAGTCGGCCAACCATGGATACAAAGACGTCAGAAGATTTAGTTGTGTTAGTCCTGGGGGCCCCAGACACTTCTTCCTCACCTTATTTCCTAGACCATGCGAGAGCTGTTCACACAGCCTTCTGTCGTCATGGGATGCTCACTTCCCACACCTTCCTGTAGGAGGGGCTGGAAGCCGATAGACAAGAGAGCGGGGGAGCCCCCGCCATGATGTGGACCGACTGCTGGCCCTGCTCTCCCAGCCTGCGCTCGGTACCTCTGTGTTTGGGTCCTTCTCCTACGGAGAGGGGCAACTCAGCTGTAAGAACGCATCCACGTAGCTGCTCACCGAGCAGGAGAGGGTGCAGCAAAACGGCAGATCTAGAACTCTCCATAGGTGGAAGGAAAGGTTTATTGGGGAACAAACTGCCAAGGCCATCTCCACCCCCTTGGGGTGGGGAGCAGAGAGAAGAGCAAACATGTATGACAAGACGGTGTCTTTGGGTTGATATAGGCTGTTCAGGAGTCAGGTGTCCTTGCCCAAGGCAGGTGACCTTTGGGTCAGATTGTGGGAGACTCCTGGCAATGCCACCTTCAGGCCTCTGCTTACCAATGAACAATCCTTCTGTTTTCCCAGCCAAAGTCCTTCTGTTAGGACATTGTCACCAACACTGCCACTTAGGGGGAAGTGGAGGAGTTTGTCCCTAACAACTAATGCTGTCAGCTGGGTCTGAATGTGTGCTGTGTGAGCTTGGCCCAGATGGGGTCCTCCCTGTGCTCTGGCTTACCTATCTTTAAGATGGGAGTGGAATGGGAATGGAGAGATGGCTCAGTGGTTAGAGCATTGTCAGCTCTCCCAGAGGTCCTGAGTTCAATTCCCAGCCACCACATGGTGGCTCACAGCCATCTATAGTGGGTTCTGATGCCCTCTTCCGGCATGTGGGTGTAAATGCAGATAGAGCACCACATACATAAAATAGATAAATCTTAATAAATTATTTTTTAATGGGAGTGGAATGCCATTCTGCCTAAGGCTGAATTGGGCTGCCCCTGATGGTTTCTAACTTTGGTCGGAAGAGGGCAGAGATCAGCAAGAGGTCAATGAAAAGGAGGCAGCCATCCCCACATAAGGCTGCAGGGCTCTGATCTTGGGCACTTCTCAGCTTCTCCTGCCTGTTGCCAAGCAGCAGCAGCAGCGCTGGTTTTGTTTCTGTATTTACTCTAGGGGTGCATGGGGTCTGGTGGACATACAACAAAGCATAGACCCCTAAGGGCGGCTTCCGTCCCACCGCCCATCCATGAGCTCCGGTGAACTCTGTGGCTGGCCGCAGCCGCCTGTGTTCTGATGGCAGCGTTTGTTTCTCCGTAGCTCTCTGCAGTGTGAGCTTCTCTGACCCCGAGGGATACATCGACTCCAGTGACTTCCCGCCTCAGCCCTTGGGCAGCTTCCTGGAGTGCACATACAACGTGACGGTCTACACTGGCTATGGAGTGGAATTGCAGGTATCCTAGACTCGGCTGCCCTTACAGATCTCCTTTCCTCAAACCGGGCTATTTTACTTGGGTTTATAGAGTGGGACTTCCACAAGTGCATGTCCCACTGAAGCCTGGGGACTTGGAGAGGACATGTCGGCAAAGCACCAAATGTGTTACTGTTGTAATTTAAGAAAAGAATCTCGAGAGAAAGATGCTATGTGACAGGGTTTAAGCAGAGCGGGTTTTTATTAGGGAAATGATCATAAAAGGGAGATAGGGAAGGGGGAGACCAGCCTCTGGGGATAGGATCAGCAGGAGAGAGAGGAAACAGGGGGAGAGAGAGAACAGAGAGGAAGAGAAGGAGGACAGACAGACATAAAGAAGGAGACAAAGAAAAAAGAGAGGAATGGGAGGTGGGCAGGGTCCTTTTAAAAGGGAACACAGTGAATGTGCACAGCTGGTGCTCTCAGTGGCTGCAGCTGAGGGCGTATCCTGTCAGAACCCCAAGGACAGGCCAGTACAGGTGCCTGAATGCTAACAGTTACCATAAAGGAAGTCCCTCAACGCCCTGCTTATTAAACACAGGCAGGCGCCACATACAACACATGTGTGTGTGCATGTGTGTGCAGGGTACACAGTACCACCTATCCACCTGCTACAACATGGAGAGTAGGAGTAAACAGTCAGTGACCAGAGAAGGGTAAGTGGGCCTGGAATGCAGTCACCGGGGAAGAGAGGAAAAGCTAAGAGAGGCCCAGAAATGAGAGCGCCCTTTGCTTTCCAGCTTCACCAGTTCCCACAGACAGGAGGGGGTGCTGAGTTCAGGCAGCTGCTCAGTGGCCAGCGCGGTTATCTGCAGAGGGGGCTCTCACCACCCTCTCAAAGCTGCATCCCTGCTGCCCCCAAGCTCTCTCTCTCCCCCTTGTCTTCCAGGTGAAGAGTGTGAACCTGTCTGAGGGGGAACTGCTCTCCATCCGTGGGGTGGACGGGCCCACCTTGACAGTCCTAGCCAACCAGACTCTCCTGGTGGAGGGCCAGGTGATCCGTAGCCCCACCAATGCCATCTCTGTCTACTTCCGGACCTTCCAGGATGACGGCCTTGGGACCTTTCAGCTGCACTACCAGGGTAGGATCCTCCGAGGCCAGCTGGATGGAGATACTGGCCTCATGTTCCTCCAACACCCAGCCACACTCTTGGGCTTGTGTGTGTGTGTGTGTGTGTGTGTGTGTGTGTGTGTGTGTGTGTGTGTGTGTGTGTGTGTGTGTGCCAGGGACCCCACTGGCACTGATTAAATCAACAGAACCCTCCTTCCTGTCTGAGAGCAATGGTTTTTAATGCCAAGAACAGAACATAATTTTGGAACTAGAGAGAGAGCTCAGGAAGAGCTTGCCATGATAGAGTAAGGACTGTGCTTCCGTCCCTAGAACCCACATAAATGGCAAATCTGGGCACACCTGTAACTCCAGTTGTGGGAGGTGGAGACAGGGGGATTCCTGGAGTTGCCAGCTTGTTGGTTTATCCAAATCAGCAAGCTCCGGGCCAGCGAGAGACCTTACCTCAAAAAAATAAGGTGGAGAAACCTCCAAGGTGCAAGGCCAGCAGCACCCAGCCTCCCCGGGGCCCCTCTCTGTCCCTCTGTCCTCAGCACAAGGCTGCTGCCTGGATGTGGGTCATGCGGCTTCCCTGTCTGCAGCTGATGCACTTGTCATTCTCCTTCCTCCCTAGCTTTCATGCTGAGCTGCAGCTTTCCGCGCCGGCCTGAGGCTGGAGACGTCACCGTGATGGATCTGCACTCTGGCGGGGTGGCCCACTTCCACTGCCACCTGGGCTACGAGCTGCAGGGAGCCAAGACTCTGACCTGCATTAATGCCTCCAAACCCCACTGGAGCAGCCAGGAGCCCGTCTGCTCAGGTACCACAGTGCCCACCAGCCGGGAGGTGGGAGGCAGCACCCTAAAGTGAATGCACTTCCTCACGTCAGGTGACCCCAAACCATAAAACTACTTCATAACTGTAATTTTGCTACTGTTACGCATATCAGGTGCAGGACATCTGATATGTGACCCCCAAAGGGGTCAAGACCCACAGGTTGAGAACCACTGCTCTATGCCATCTGAACTAACCTTGGGCAAGGCTCTTACTCTCCAAGCTGTGCTGTAATTAAAATGCATGAAATTGACTCCTGAGGACACTTAGCACATAGTAGGGCCTTGTGCCATTGCCACTCTGTCCGGTGGGAACCTTGCTCATTAGCCGTCACACAGCAGGATACTTAGTGACTGTGGTTGTCTTCTTTATATATTCTGGATACTAAGCCTTTATCAGATGTACAACGCCCTCCCACACCCCGGCAGCCACATTTCTGTCTCTGTTGTGAGGTCTCACTCACAGGTGACACAGGTGGCTTCTATGCGGTCCTTACTCTTTCATGGCAAGCTCTTCCTGAAAGCCACAGGTTTTTCAAGATCTACAGCACACACAAGCATTGTGGATGCTTTCAGTGGCTGAGTCTGCATGTGGGTTATGTTCTGTTTTGTTTGCTTGTCCATCATGGGACATTAGAATTGTTTTCACTTTTGATCTACTCTCTATGAATATGGAGGTAAGTTTTCATTCCTCTTAAATATGATCCTTGGGTCATATAGAGTAACCCCTACGAGCTCACACTTCCCACAGCGGCTGCACCATCTCACCCACCCCCTGGCGTTACAGAAGTTCTGTCCTGCTGACACTTACCAACTCACTATTTTACGTGTTCTGAAACCAGCACGGTGGGTCTATAGGCATCTCACCACAGTCTCACGTTTCCCCGATAAGTATTGATGCCGCACATATTTTCAAATGCGTTTATATGCTCAGCAGCTGTCATCTCCAAAGAAAGGCTCTCCAAACCCCATGTCCATTGTTCAAGAGGCTACTGGGTCGTTGTTTGTACTGTAAGCACTCTTTACACGTGCTGAATCCAAACCTCTATGAGATACAATTTGTAGGCCTCTACCCCCTGTTCTGTGGTTTTCTTTTGACTTCTTTATATGGCCTGTGACACTACCTTTTTTTTATAATGATGAGGTCTGACTTATCCCTTGTTTCTTTTGTTGTTTGGACTTTTGGGGGTGGTTGATGCTGTTTGGTTTTGTCTTTTTGAACTCAGTCAATGCAAACTCAAAAGTTGGTGACAGTCACCAACTAAGGTAATCTAGTGCCCTCTGGTGGTGAGAAGTGGGTGGTGCATGCCTGCAGGTGGAATCCTAGATTCCAAGGACAGCCATGATCCTCGGCCTGTGGGTGTGTCATCCTTCAAGGATCCTTGGCCCACGGAGAGTCTGCCATCCTGCCAACGCCCACTAGTGTCCACTGTTTAGTGGGCTGTGCACCCATGGTTGGAGCTATGATGGCTGTCTCGTAGTCAGCAGCTTGGTGCAGGACGTGTGTCTTGGTTACTGCTCTGTGGCTGTGAACAAATACCAAGACTGAGGCAAAAAAAAAAAAAAAAAAAAAAAAAACAGCATCTAATGGGGGCTTGCTCACAGTTTCAGAGGGTTAGTCTATGATCCTCATGGTGGAAAGCAGACAGGCGTGGCGCTACAGCAGTGACCTAGAGCTTTATATCATGATCCACAGGCAGGAGGTGGGGGCTTTTGAAACTGAAAAGTCCACCCCCGGTGACAAACTTCCTTCAACAAGATCCCACCTCCCAATCCCCCCCAAAAGTTCTACTCCCTGGTGAATAAACATTCAAAATAATTGAGTGGTATGTACTCGCTCATCGATGGATTTTAGACATGAGTCAGGGGCGTGCCAGCCTACAATCCCACTGCCAGAGAGTCTAGGAAATAGAACCTTCATCCAGCGACTGATGAAATCAGAGGCAGATACCCACAGACAAACACTGAACTGAACTCCTGGAATCCAGTGTCAGAAAGAGAGAACTGATGGACAAAGGAGTCAAGTCTGGGCTGTTTTAACACACAGAAACAGCTAACCTGAACAAGGGGGAGCTCTTGAGCTCCAGAGTGATGGCTGTGTGGAAAGCATGAGACTGACCCAGACCCCCTGAATGTGGGTGTCAGTGAGGAGGCCTAGGTAATCTATGGGGCCTTGGGTAGTATTTATCCCTGGCGTACAAATAGACTTTGAGTGTCCATGCCTCAATGAGGGAGGCTCTCTCAGCCAGGACTCTTGGGGGAGGCCCTAGACCCGAGTAGGGACTCCCAGAACATGGGGAGGAGCCAGGAGCAGGGTTTGTCCTCAGAGGCAGAGGCAGCTCCATAAGGCAACCTGTCTGATCCGGCTCCAGGTGGAGGCCCTGACTGTGCTCCTACGCTCTGCTCCTCTGACCCTGGAGGGGGAACTGGGCCTAGTGCTTGGACAAGAAAGATTTCTGTATGTCCTCATTCCTCCTCAAGGACAGGGATCACCCTGGACCAAGAGGCCAGCTCTCCCAGACACCACATTAGCACAGACCCACACTGTGAGGCCCCGAGGGTGGGATCCTGCACTTCCGCTCCTCTGTGATCTGACAGCTGTGCCACCCCTGTGGTCCACAAATCACTTTGCCGCGTCACCTCGCCATATTATTTTAACATAAAAGTGTTATACGGCTCTGGTTAAAAGAAAATTCCAGAAACACAAATGTACAGAAGACAGGAACAAATCACTTTTATATCCGATGGTCTCAAGCTACCCCTGCGGCTCACTCACAGGAATGGAACAGGCAGGATGTTTGCTAGCATTGCTGCCTCTTCAGGCTCTTGCATTCACAAGCAGTCTCTGAGAAGGGGGTCTCTGAGAAGGGGGTCTCTGAGAAGGGGGTCTCTGAGAAGGGGGTCTCTGAGAAGGGGGTCTCGTCTGGTGGCTCCGTGGAAGCCCGGTGTGTGCTGAGAGATTCACTGCAGTTCTGGTTTTGAATCTGAGGATGAAGGCGGAGCTGGGCAGCCCTCAATCACAAGTTAGATCAAATCCGAAGCTTCCCGCAGGATAAACTCCCAGGGCTCGTTTCTGGGTCAGGGTGTTCCGACATGGTTTTAAAAGAGTTTTTGCTGAATTGTCTGTCCTTCAGGAAATGGTCACAGCCCAGCTGGTGAGTGGTCCGTCGTGAAAATGTAAGACCATGCCCACTGCAGATACTGCTCCGATTTTACTGATATTTTTCAGCCTGCCATTGGGTGGGTAAAAGCAGAGCACAGCTGGAGTTTCTTCTATTCCTATGCTACTGCAGTATCTGAGCACTAAGTCCTTAGTACATGCTTCTCCTTCTGTGAACTGCTCCCCTCTGAGGATCATTTCGTGACTGATTGTCGAGGCATCAGGTCAGTGAGGTGGTTCAACGAGTTAGCACGCTTGCCGCCAAGCCTGAAGACCTGAGTTCAATCCCCAAGACCCACATGGTGGAAGGAAAGAGTTAACTCCTATAGGCTGTCCTCTGACTTCCATAGAGGCATTGTAACATATGCCCACAGGAATGAGTGAATGAGAGTGAATGAATGAGTGAATGAATGAATGTGTATTTTTTCAATGAACATCTAGGCTCGGTCTTTACATTGAAGTCCTTCCTGTAGTGGCACACAGATGTTTGGTGGCTCCAGGCATGGGGTGGGACGTTGACAAGACAGCAGGCCCCGTCCCCTGTGTTCCCAGCTCCATCCCAGCTGGAGGACTTAGATGCTATGAGGAGAGACTAAGTCCACCGCTTCCTCTCTTCTCTTCCCTCCCCGCCTCATGCCTCACTTTCTGCACCCAGCCCCGTGTGGAGGAGCCGTGCACAACGCCACCATTGGCCGAGTTCTCTCCCCCAGTTACCCTGGAAATGCCAACGGCAGCCAGCTCTGTGTGTGGACCATCGAGGCCCCAGAGGGTCAGAAGCTGCACCTGCATCTGGAAAGGCTGCTGCTTCAGGAGAAGGACAGGTGAGCCATCCACACTGGACGCCCCTCCCCACCCTAGAGAGGGTGGGGTGTGCAGTCTGGGTGTGGCTGAACCCCGGAAAGAAAGCCTGGGGGGAGGACGACGAAGACCTTATGACCATCAGGAAACTGAGGCATTCGGGGGAAAGGAACTTGCCTGAGCCACCTAGGAAGCTAGGGGACGATGGTAGGGATCAAGCACTTGCACACTCGTGCTCTCTCTCTCTCTGTCTCTCTCTCTCTCTCTCTCTCTCTCTCTGTCTCTCTCTCTCTCTGTCTCTCTCTCTCTGTCTCTCTCTCTCTGTCTCTGTCTCTCTCTCTCTCTCTCTCTCTCTCTCTCTCTCTCTCTCTCTCTCTCTCAGACAGCCTTGGCTCCTGGGAAGACAGGAAGCAAGGGGTGGAGAAACTCTGGGTTGGAGAAAGCTAGGCGGGCAGACGGGAGGGGCAACAGCTCTGCCAGGCCCATGTGTGCAGGCAGTAAACAAGCATGAGGACTCCAGATTCAAGGCTAATAGTCTAGGACCTTGCTCTAGAACATTCTAGAAAATCAGAGCCTGCCTTAGGCTGTGTTCCAAAAGCAGGTGAGGGATAGGGATGTGGGGGAGGGGAGTTTGCCTGTGTCTTAGGGTTTCTATTGCTGTTACCATGACCACAGCAACTCTTACAAAGGAAAAATTTAATTGGGAGTGGTTCACTTACACTTCAGAGATTCAGTCCTTTATCACCATAGTGGGACATGGCAGCGTGCAGGCAGACACAGTGCTGGAGAAGTAGCCGAGAGTCTTACATCTTGTAGGTAACAGGAAGTGATCTCAGTGTCACATTGAGTGAAGTTTGAGCAAAGGAGACCTCAAAGCTCGCCCCCACAGTGACACACTTCCTCCAAACAGGCCACACCTACTCAAACAAAGCCACACCTCCTAGTAGTGCCCCCCCATGATCTTACGGGAGTCAATTGCATTCAGACCATCACCCTCTGGTGAGCTGTGGGTGGCATGGAAACTGCAGGAAGGGAATAGAGCCTGTGTGGTCAGCAGGTAGATCCTGGGACAACTGAGACTCCAGCCTCCAGGACCTCACAGTGGCCATACTGGAAGGATGAAGGAGCCAGAATTTATCCAGAGCACCTGTCAGTCACTGTGTTCATGGCCACACCGCCCCCAGCCTTGCTCTCTCCCTTTAACGGGTTGGGTAAGCTACAGGCCTGGAGGCTTGAGTGGAGAGGAACCAGCAGGGCCTTCAGGGACAACCAGAGCTGCGGGGATGTGCAGGGGTAGGACCTTGGTGTGCTGCATCCAGTGCACCAACACTGGAATTCTAGAATCTGACACAGAATACGTTTGTGTCAAAATGTCACCAGCCAGTATGAAGTGTGAGAAATTGGGGTGCTCCAGTGTCACCAGGGGTGGGCCATTCTCACCGCAGGTGGGACCGTGTCACCAGGAGTTGCTCCAGTATCACTGGGAGTGCTCCAATGTTACTGGGGGTGGGCCAGTGTCATCAGAGGTGGGTCAGTATCACTGGGGTACTGCAGTGTCACCAGAGGTATTCCAATGTCACTGGGGTGCTCCAGTGTCACCAGAGGTACTCCAATGTCACTGGGGTGCTCCAGTATCACCAGAGGTGCTCCAATGTCACCAGAGGTGGGCCATTGTCACCAAGGGTGCTCCAGTGTCAGATTACAATCCTTTACAAGAAGATTGCGCACAGCTAGGCATGCAAACGTTGCTAATGGACATCCTTCAAAGCAGTCTTGTCCAGTCTACCTCTCTAGGGTAGCACTGGAGGTAAACAAAACTGACATTTATTACAGACAAGAATGAGAAAGCCAGGATACATTGACACTCGGTGGTTTTGATCATTAACTGGTCTTGCAAGAGGACCTACCTGAGTTCAGTAACTTCAGTTCTAGGGATCTGGTGCCCTCTACTGGCCTGTAGGAGCACCTTCATGCACACAGTGCACATACAGACAAATAGGCACATACACACATCCACTTAAATCTTTAAAAAGAAAAAAAAGAGAACCGTGGTACACACCTTTAAATCCCAGCACTGGGAAGTAGAGGCAGTCATATCTCTGTGAGTTCTGGGCTAGCCAGAACTACACAGTGAGATACTGTCTGAAAACAAAGAAAAAGACTATATACAGAAACCATCAGAGAAGAATGAAGAAGAAAAGAGAAAGAATGAGAAATCCAGGGATGGTGTCATACATCTGTGATCCCAGCACTCAGAGGCTGAGGGAGGAGGACTGTAAGTTCAGGGCTAGCATGAGCCAGAGTGAGATTGCCTCAAACAGCCAACAGCTGTAGATGTAGCCCAGGGGTAGAGCCATTGCCTGGTGTGTGTGCAAGGCCTGAGTTCTCTCTCCAGCACTGGAGAGGGTGGTGGGGAGATACAGTAAGAGTCAGAGACAGACAGACAGAGATACAGTGAGAGACAGATACGGACAAAGAGAGACAGAGACAAACACAGTGAGAGACAGAGACAAAGAGAGAGACAAATACAGTGAGACCAAAACAGGCTTTTTCTGAGAGCCGTGTGGATTATGACAGCTAGCTCAGAGACACTCCACTCTGATTGTTGTCCACGACACCTAAGCTGGCCCCGGGGATCCCAGCACTCCAGTGTCTTTGGTGGTTGAAGATACTGGCTGTGCAGTTTCATGTACCCAGTGAATGTTACTGAAAAGAATAGCTTAAACATACCAGTATGTGAGTTCTTAGATAGAACGGGGTGGGGGGAGTGGAAAGGGGGACACAGAGAGAGGTCAAGAAAGGAATCCACACCCCATCAGGGTGGAGAAATCAGAGGCTCTCAGAGGGAGAGGGGCCAGACGCTGGATCTGTCTTCAAGGCATTGTCAAGAGTGACAGCTTCATTCTACAGCCAGGACGGAACAACGGGAAGAGTGGAGGAGGAATATTTTCCCAGAAGTTCCCCCCAAAAAGACACCGTTCTACACTCAGACTGGGTAATAGTCAGTGGCAACAAGTCAGGCTCTGAGTGGGCCACTGGGTGTGCCCAACCTGCTCCTGCTTCAGATCTTAGCCTGCAGAGCCCAGCTGCAGAGTGAGATGTCACCTGGTTTTGTGTGTCAAATTGACCCCAGCTAGAATCATTAGAGGAAAGAGACTTAGTTAGGCAGAGTCTCCATGAGAGACTCTTAATTAGTGATTGATGGGGGAGGGCCCAGCCCATTGTGGGTGGGGCCATCCCTGGGGTGGTGGTCCTGGGTTCTATAAGAAAGCAGACTGAGCAAGCCATGGAGAGCAAGTCAGTAATCAGCTCCTGCCTCCGAAAGGTTCCTGCCCTGTTTGAGTTCCTATCCTGACTTTCTTCAGTGATGAACAGCAATGTTGAAATGGAAACCAAATAAACCCTTTTCCTCCCCAATTCCCTTTTTGGTCGTGGTGTTTCATCAGCAATAGAAATCCTAACTGGGATAACCTGACCGCACTGCTGTCCAAGTCCCACCTCTCAGAATAGAGTAACCCAATGCACAGCAACTACCCCAAGCTCCCCCTCACTCACACCCACCCTGCATCCCTGAGGGACTCAGGACAAGCAGGCAGTCCCCATTTCTGTGAGGGACCAAAAAGACTGAAAAGGCAGGATTTGAGTTCATGCAGGAGACCCAGATCGCCACTCCCATGCCCCCTCTCCCTTCTGGCCACAGTGTCACTGACCCAAGAAGACGTGTCAGCACCCCTCTGTCCTTTCTCCGGTCAGGATGATTGTCTACAGTGGACTGACAAACACATCGGCCCTGCTGTACGACTCTCTCCGGACGGAAAGCGTGCCCTTCGAAGGCCTGCTGAGCGAGGGCAGCAGCATCCGCATTGAGTTCGCATCCGACCAGGGCCAGGCAGCCTCGGCCTTCAACATCCGCTTTGAGGGTGAGGGACCCTCTTTCCTTTGAGGTGGAGCCTGGGAACTGGGAGAGTATGTAAGCTGAACCTGGGCCTGGTATGGGGGATATAGAGATGTCAGGGTGAGGGACACAGAGCCTCCCATGATTTCCAAGAGGGATTTTCAGTTGTATTAATGCCAACTTCCTGCTAAGCACCCCTTGTGCTAGAGCCTGATGCACCCCTCCCTCCCTCCCTACTTCCCACCTCCCTCTCTTCCTTCCCTCCCTCCTTCCCCTCCCTCCCTCCCCCCTCCCTCCTTCCTTCATTCATTCTTTCTTACTTTTGATACAAGGTCTTATTTAAGGATCTCATGTACCTCATCTGGCCACTACCCCTCTCTGTGTCCCCACCTCAGCCTTTGAGAAAGGTCACTGCTACGAACCCTACATCCAAAACGGGAACTTCACCACATCAGACCCCACCTATAACATCGGAACCATTGTGGAGTTCACCTGCGACCCCGGCCACTCTCTGGAGCAGGGCCCAGCTGTCATTGAGTGTGTCAACGTGCGTGACCCATACTGGAACGACACGGAGCCTCTCTGCAGAGGTGAGCCACCCCCACACACACACAACACCAGAACACCAGGGCCTCCAGCTGGCTGCAAATAACAAGGCCCCGGCCTGGAAGGTGTGGCCTTATTACACACTGGTTTTAGGATGGGACCCTTTCCAGAAAAATGGCCCTCTGGATCCAGTTGCTGCTGGTTCTTGGGGAGTCACAAATGGCCCGTTTTAGGAGCTGCCTCTTCCCACAGGCCCAAGCCCCGCAGTGCACAGCTGCTACGGCAGGAGAGCCCTGTGTGGATATGTCCCCTCCTTCATATGCGGCTCCAGTGCACAACTCAGCCAGCAGCACGTGGCAGCCCTGGGTCTCATGGATGACCATCAGTTCACTGAGGGCTGCATGTCCCACATGACAAATACCCTCTCAACAGCCACATACTGTAGACATCAGCCCCACTCATGGTGATGAGTCAGACTGTGGTGTCTAATGCATCGGATGAAAGCCTGGAGATTTAAATGAAAGACATCCAGCCGTTTGTGCTGAGAGTGTGAGTGTGAGTGTGTGTGTGTGCGCGCGTGCGTGTGTGAGTGTGTGTGTGCGCGCATGCGTGTGTGAGTGTGTGTGTGTGTGTGTTTATTGCAAGGAGGGAGCAGCCTTATATACAGACTTACAGCACAGTGGAGAAACCCCAGGTATAAGTGTTTTCACAATGAGAGGTTGATGCCAGTGGGGCAAGGCCGGGGCTGTAAGCCCGGACTAGAAAACAGGATGCACCTGTGGTTATTGGCTGACAAGCAACTCACAGAGACCCCGTGTGGCCTGGGGCCCAACATCAGACACGGAAGGTCCATGCTAAAGAACATTCTAGGGTCACTGGAGGATACAGTGGGCTTTGCCTCCCTGTACTCAGAGCCTGGACAGTTTTGGCTGTGACAACCATCATGCACACTGGCTCCCCGGCTCCTGTATCTGAGGCCACTGGGCTCTGGCATGTGGAGGAATAACCGGTGCCCTCACACCTGGCAACCACCTGGCAGCTGGCGTGGAGTCACAGCCTTGCTCTGGTGAGGGACGGGCCCCTGAATTAAACTGCTACATTAACAGGGAAGAACTCATTGAGGCTTCAGCCTCCGCCATGCTAAGGACTTTCCAGGGAGTAAACAGAATGGAAGTGAGAAAGCAGCCACCACATCTCAGCTTCTGGTCCAGGGTGAATCTTTCAGAACCTTGAGCCTCGTTGTCATCTGGGCATTCACTGGGGTGGAGGTGGGGGAGGTGCTTCAAGCTGGTGTGGTGAGTTCGGTCACTCCCACATGAGCCAGTGGGCCAGCCGGGGCATTTCCTAACCACACAAGGCACAGGGAAGGAAGCTGATTCAAAACTGTCCTCAGTGGGGAAGACTCTGCCAAGGAGGTGGAGATAAGTCCAGTAGCCTCTGTCTCCACACACATGCACAACACAAGCACGTGTGCGCACACGCATGCACACACACATACAAACTCACATACATGCTCACACACGCTCACCGGCACAGGTGCACACATGCACATATACACACGTGCAGGCTGCCCCCAGCCACCCCACGTGGGAACATAGTCATTTGCACAGGGACCCACAGATGCCAACTTCATCCGCCACACTCCCGACCGCTGTGCTCTCGCTCTCTCTTGGCTTCCTCACGATGGTGTCTTCCTGTCTGTCTGTGTGTCGTCCGTCTGTTACAGCCATGTGTGGTGGGGAGCTCTCGGCTGTGGCTGGAGTGGTGCTGTCTCCAAACTGGCCCGAGCCCTATGCAGAAGGTGAAGACTGTGTTTGGAAGATCCACGTGGGGGAGGAGAAGCGGATCTTCTTGGACATTCAGTTGTGAGTGCCTGGCCAGCCCTCCACCAAAGTCCACTGAAGCAGGCCGGTGGGGAGGGGCTGGTATCTGCTTTCTTCTTCCAGCCAGGATTAACTGAGTGCCTAGTACATCCCTGGGGTTGCCACAGCAACACAACCAGCAGCCTACGAAGAGAGCGGTCCCTGTTCTCATGAATTCGTTCTGCCAAGGAGGCTGATTTCGGGGCGGGTGTACACAGATAATCACACGTGTGGCTTCAGCTCATAGTACAAGGGCCGGTCATGGCCATTGGGCATGCGACACAAAGGAGGAGGGGTGGAAGGGTTACTCAGCAAAGCTCAGACTAAAGACGAACGTGGAACAAGATGTGCTAAGGTCCTTTTATCTTCTTTCTATCATTTATTTACGTGTCTACTGCGAGTGGAGGTCAGGGCGTGCATGTGACAGCATGTGTGGGGCCGTCATAGGACAACTTGTGGGAGGCAATTCTTTCCTTCTACCAGTGGGTCCCAGGAATCAAACTGGGGCTGTCAGACTTGGCACCAGGTGCCTTTACACACCAAGCCATCTTGCCAGGCCCCAATTTTTGGATGACCAAATGGCCAGCGTGGACAGGAATGAAGGGTGTTGTGCCATGAGCCCCCGCCACACTATAGTTCTTCCTTGTCTGCATTCCGTAGCTAGTACAGATGCCGGTCAGGGTCTGGTCTTACTTCACCAGACCTTAGACTACACCAAGTGACTAGGAAGTAACAATGAGTGAAAGTGTTTACTGAATGGCAGCAGCTGCCACTCTCCCTGGGCGCAACCATAATGTGTCCATCCGGAACACGGCCCCCAGTTCCCCAGGAGGGCAACACTGAGCCCAGAATGAAGGTGTTAGCTCGGAGTGCTTGTATCTGAGGTCATTGTCCTGCCTGGAGGGCAGCTTCCAAGGACTGCTGGAGACAAGAGAGAGGTGGCCTCTGGAGGCCTCTTAACCACCTCCTTCCGCTGTCCTCTGTGAGATGGGGACAGGGACAGATGGTGGTGTCTGGAGAAAAAGTCTTTCTGGCAGACCCAGGTGACTGGGAAGAGGCCAGAAACAGAAGTCCAAGGGCCTCTGGCTCTGTGAGCAGCAGACAGGTACCACATGTCTAGTAGCTATCTTTGTAATGTGTAATCTCCGTAGTGTTTATTCATTGTGTGAGGTGATCGATGGGTTTTGTCGTGGCGTCTGTGAAACAATTTGACCAGATCTGTCCCCACAACCTGCTCTGCCCCCTTCCACTCTTTCAGCTCCCCTCAAAAATCCTCCCCTATCTTTAAAAAAAACTAGATTCTGCATATGGGAGAAGATGTTGCATTGTCTGAGTCTGGCTATTTTGCTTAACATGATGGCCTCCAGCTCCATCTGTTTTCATGCAAACGACATAATGTTGTTTTTCTTTATGGCTGAACACAACTCCCTGTGTAAATATGCCATGTTTTCTTTACTCACACATCTGTCCACAGATGTCCAAGCTAGCCACATCACTCCATCATCGTGAATAGCAACAGGCCTGGATGCGTGAGCTCTCTGCACAAGGCTCGCTTAGGTCATTTGGCATCTACCCAGAAAGTTGTCTGGGATTCTACTTTCAGTTTCTGGAGACCCATGGTTGTCCTGGTGCCACCCCCACCTGCAATGACTAAGCTTTCCTTCCCCACATCCGTATTAGCATGTGTTGTCATTCTGACTAGGGTGAGATGGACTTCACATCTGTCTTTCCTTTGTGATTAAGGACATTCACTGAATGTTTTGCTCATCTCTATTGCCCTGTGTTTGTTTTAGGAGAATGGTCTGTTTGGTTCTTGTGCTCACTGATTGATGAGGTTATGGGGGGCTGTTTATCTCCCATGGTCTTTACAGACACTAGCTATCCATCCCAATGTGACGTTGGCAAAGATCCACCACTCTGACAGTCATCCATCCCTTAGCTCTGCTGGTGGCTTCTCTTGCTTTCAAATTCTGTGCAGTCCAGTCTCTTGACTCTTGCTGCTTTTCCCTGAGTTGTTGGACACCCTCAGAAAGCCTTTTCCTGTGCCAGTATGTTGGGGTATTTTCTTCTATTCCCTCTAGCCATTGCAATTTCTGGTCTTAGAGTGAAGTTTTTGATCCATGCTGAGTCAATTTTTTTGGAGGGTGACATAGGTCTGTTTCTGTTATGTTACAAGTTCCCCCAGCACCATGTGTTGAAGACAGTCTTTCTTTCCAGTGTCTGATTTGGGCACATTTGTCAAAGACCATGTGGCTGTCACTGTGTGGGTTCATTCCTGAATCCTCTATTTATTCCTCAGGTGTGTGTGTGTGTGTGTGTGTGTGTGTGACTGGACTGTCATGTAAAGCTGTCCCTGGAGCTTGGTCTTGGCCTTCCTGCTCCAGCGGAGCCTAAAGCCCCACAAATCTTGGACATCTGATCCTCATGGGCCAGGGACAGAATTCCACCTCCTTTTCTTCCCAGCTGTGTGACCCAAGCCTTCTCTCCGGCTGCAGTGTCTTCAGTCTTCTGTAGGGATCATGGGATGTCTATGATTCCTGGAGGGGGGCCTTGCACACAGTGACAAGTTAGTGGATGGGTGGGCAGCTAGGGAGCCTGGGTGAATCAAGAAGGGTGGCTAGGAGGAAGCATTTTCCATGAAAGGATGACAAAGAAGGGAAGCAAATGAGAGAGAGAGAGAGAGAGAGAGAGAGAGAGAGAGAGAGAGAGAGAGAGAGGTGGTCCATTTAGGGAAGTCTATTGTTGCTCTAGGTTCTCTTTTGTCCCACCAGGTCCTGCCACCCTTCTCAGTCCCAAATAAGCACACAGAGACCTATATTAATTATGAAATTGTTGGCCGATGATTAGGGTTTCTTTTTGGCTAGCTCTCTCTAAATTATTAACCCATATCTGTTAATCTATGAATTGGCACAAGGCTGCAGCTTACCCGTAATCCAGCATGATACTGCTTTGGCAGCAAGGCATCTCTACTGTATTCCTCCGCCTACCTTTCCCAGAATTCTCCTTATCTTCTAGTCCTGCCTATCTTCCTGCCTAGCCAATCAGTCTTTTACTCACCAACCAATAAGAGAAACATATATACAGAAGAACATCCCCCACCTGTCTACCTCAGCTAGAGGCAGGGGGCAGGGAGGTATCAATTAAAGAAGGATCAATAATGGGGATCATCTCTGGGATCCTCTTAACTGAGGCTTCAGAGAGAAAACTCCACTCTAGAGTAGCATGGGGGGCTGAGAAGATGGTCCAATGGGGCTTGTCTCATAAGCATGAGGATCTGAATTTAGATCTCCTGCACTCATGAGAAAGCCACCTGGGCATGGCAGCCCATCTGTAATCCCAGTACTAGGGTCATGTGCATGCCACAGGGAGAGACAGGCAGAGTCCCGAGGCAAGCTGACTCGTCAATGACAGACTCGGCCTCAATATTTAAGATGCCAAGCAGTTGAAGATGACACTTGACATCAACCTCTGTCCTCTAAATGCACACCCATACATGTGCACACACATGCACTCACACACATGTGAATACACACACACACACACACACAGCTCTCAGAAGCCTTCTCTGGCTCCATGTTACTCTTTTGATAAGTTACAAACACACAATTCTACTTATGAGAGCATTTCCCTGAAGAAGTTACCAGGAAAACTCACTGAGCTTCGGTAGGAGAAGGAAAATTTGACACCCAGGTTATTGCTTTCTTGAAGGGAGTCTCACCCAGCTTCAATCCCCACCCAATAAGTTGTTGAGGACCAGACCAGCCCACCCCCATTTCTGTTTCTCTTGGCCTCCTCTCCTTTGGAAGCCTCCCAGCTTCAACTGGCCACATCTGTGGGCGTCTGAGCCTGCCTGAGAATGGAGGAAATGTGGGGTATTCTTTCATCCCTGTGGTTCACGAAATACTGTTAACCTTCAGCTTGACACTGCATTGCATTTTATTTCCATCTGAAAGCCCGTGCATAATGGAAAAGCTCAAGCCATTAACTCAGAGTCATTTCCCACAGCCAGGCCATGGCACCAGCATCGGGTGGGGCATCACAAAAGACAGGTGCCCTCTCTCTCTTCTAGTATTCAGGCAGCTGAATAACGGTGGCACCCCAGCTCCCCTCTTCCCAGTGTTCTATGGCTACACGTTTCCCTGTACAAATGTTAGAGGGGAACTAAGGGGAGATGTGACCTCCAGCACTGCAGGGCCAGACCGTGATGGCATGCGGGGCGGAAGCCTGGTGTGACATCCAAGGGCAGAGACCTGAGTGTAGGGGAAGCCACAGCTGACTACGGTCAAGTTTCTGTGGGTCTCCAGGGTGAGCGCTTTGCTCTGGGTGGTAACGGGCTCTTTGCTCACTCCTCGTACTGGAGAAAGGTATATTATTAAGTGCCTGGAGAGACAACTCAGTAGGGAAAGTGCTTGCTGCACAAGGGTGAGGATCTGAGTTCAAGTCCCCAGAGCTCATATAAAGTCAGGTGTGGCAGCATGTTTCTGTAATCCCAGTGATCCTATGGCAAGAGGGGAGGCAGAGACAATGACCTAGGGTTCACTCATAGTCTTCTGGGCTCCTCCAAAGGGCTTGGGTCACTTCTCTGGTGCCCGCTGTAGCACACATAGCTTGTCTTCTAGGCTCTGGTTAGCTGTGCTCCACACGGGCTGCTGCTCTTGTGTCTGTCATACAGTACTAGCATCTCCAAGATGCTGGGTCTCTGCTGCAACTGGGCTGGACTTTCACCTATATCCTTTTCTGAGCTCTCTTCAGGGTCTCCAGCCCTGCCACACAGTGCCAAGCCTCAGCTGCTGTCCATGGCCCCTTCAGGCCTGCAAAACCAGTCACACCTGGTTGGCTTTACACTACCGAGGTGCAGCCTTGGCGGTTCTGGAACACAGCTTCTGAGTGCTGACCCTCAGGACACACTTCCCAGAAGACTTCACCTCAGTGATGCTGGTTTCTTCTTTATCACAGCTGATTCTTCAGCCCCAGCTGGCCAGCATCCACTGTCCCAGTAAAAC